CAGGTCGGATGGCGCGGGGCGGGCCCGGGAGCTTCTCGGAAACAGCCAGACGTGTGACCGAAGGCGACCTCGAGGCTGTAGACGACGCAGCCGGCACACGCGACACACCAGCTTAAGCTCGTCTCCGGCTCTGTGCCATTTCAGCCTGTAACGGGGTCCCCAGGAAAGGGGGGGCGCCAGGTCCCCTGCCCCACCCAGGGGAGGGGGGGCTGAGCAGGGAGACTGGGAGAAGGAGGCAGGATGGGCCAGGGGAGACCTGGGGGCGCCGCGAGCAGACACCCGAAGAAGCGAAGAAGCGGCTCTTGCTTCCTGGCCCTGCACTGGGGGACGCAGACGCGGGGGAGCCCCGGGGAGGCGACTGTGGCAGCTCTCTTGGCTTTGATGTTGCTCTCTGCCTCCCAGCGTGTCTGGCCATGTCTGGCCCTTCTCTGTGGGCCCGCCGGAAGGCGCCTTAGACTGGGCCAGACCCTTTTGGGCGGACTTTTAGCCCCCAGGGGACGGGCCACTTTGCATGTTTGTGCATTTAGAAACGTATCTTTATGTTTGCTCTGTTGGTCACTAATTGTATTAAAGTTCCCTTCCATGAAAGGTCTTTTATGTTTTGTGTTGAAGCGGTGGACGGCAGAACCTATTTAGAGCAGGCAGGTTTGGAGGTTCAGGGGTGTCTCCCAGCCCTGTAACAAGTCTCCCTAAGCCAATCCTGGGTTCCCTGCCTGCCCAGAGGGGTGACACTGTATCACTTTACATCACTGGGTGGGCTAAGGGAGCTAACACAGGTGGAACCTGAGACTGGCACCTGCACTCAAGCGGGCTCAATGGCGGGCGGCACTCGAGCCAGCGTAGACCTGAGCCGCACGCGTCGTTGGGGCGGCCGCTAGCTTGCTGTGGGGGGGTGCAAGAAGGAAACCCAGACCTACTGAGATGGGGGTGAAGGGTGGCTCATTTGCTAAGTTCCCTTTGATTTTAGCGAGTAATTAGCCAGGTGGACTCTTGGGGTTACTCGACTTAGTGCCACATTCTGCTCCATTTCTCCGAGACCCATCAGTACTGGACAAAGCTGGTACCTGATTAGGAGAGGGGTTTCCGGCCAGAAGACACAGGAGTTCATTCAGGGCAGGAGCTCTAGACTGGGGCCTGTGACATTTAAAATGCATCTCCGTTTGCTGAGGGCTCTGGTGGCTGCCGGTGGGTGCCGAGATGCCGGAAGCGTCCGCTGCTAGTGCAGTACTGCGGGGTGTGCCGCCTGAGGGTGGGCTCCAGTTCCGCAGCCTGATATCAGGAAGAGCAGAAAAGCTGAAACCACAATTTCATGGCTTTGGTGAAAAGTATGTTCAGGGATGGGAAATAAACCCTTAACTGAGTGGCCGGGGGAGGCAGGTGGGGCCTGCTGCACCCAGGGGCTAGCTGCATGGAACAGCTTCCCGATGGAAGAGCTGCGCTTTAACCCCTGCGCCAGCAGGGAGGGCCCCTTGCAAGTCTTCACATGCTCCTGAAGTCCAGGAGGGCAGCAGTTGCTGCCGTTTTCAAACTGGCTCTGAGGACATCTGCAGTGTTAAGACTTTCAAGTCTGTCTTACGACATGGGAGCAGACACGTGTGCTGCGCCTGTCATTCTGAAATGGCTTTCTGCCTCTCGCGCAGGATATCCAGGCCTTCCCGCTTCACTCTAACTTTCCTTTGACCTGGGGCCTCCCTGTTGGTGTAGGGTTAAAGCACAGCAGGTTAAAACGCAGCACTATGAAGCTGTAGGCAGCCCCTGTAGCACGGGTTCGATCCCCAGCCTGGGAGTGGCCCAGAGAGTGCAGCAGGCCCCTCCTGTCTCCCTGCTGCTCCCCTCAGCGGTGTGTTTCAGTCCATCTGCCTGTTCTGCTCCCCGCTCTGTCTCTGGGGAGTCCTCTCACCCTTTGCACCTCTGGCCTGTACTTGCTCTTCTGTGTGTAAATAAATCTTAAAAAAAAATAAATAACTTTGTTTTTACCTGTACCACGTTGTTTTGACCCCACTTAGCTTTGAAATTCAGTTGTAAGCAAAACTGTAAATTTAAATGGCATTTCATTGGCCATGCATCTTATTTTCTACATTGCCTCGTTTCCTAAAAATAAAACACAAGGCATTTTACTCCATTTTTTTTATATCTTAACAAAATGATCTGATTTTTTTTCCTTCACATTAACATTACCGGCACTAACTTGCCAGTGTTGTTTGGTGATGTTATTTTGGTCTTAAACAGCTATTGCCCAGCCCAGGTTTTGCTGTAGACTAGTAGAACTTGTCAGAGGTGAGGAGGGAAAGGAAGGGACTTGGGGAGAGGATGAGAGAAGGAATGTTCTGACATGATAGGAAACTGAGCTGGAGAAAAATTTACTAGTTGTTTTCAGTTTGACAGAGGGTTTTGTTTGTTTGTTTTTAAAGATGTATTTATTTAGGCATATAAGAGCTGGGGTGCAGGCCAGAGGTGTGGGGGATGAGAGGACTCCCCAGAGACAGAGTGGGGAGCAGAGCAGGCAGATTGGCTAAGTACAATGCTGAGGGGAGCAGTGGGGGTGGGGGTGGGTAAGGGGTGTCTACTGCCATGTGAGTCACTCCCTGGCTGGGGATCGAACTCAAGATGCAGCAGCTGTCACAGCTCCACAGTGCTGCTCTTTAACCCGCTGAGCCACCAGAGAGCGCCATTATGCATTAGCTCTAATGTTGAAAAACTGCAGGGAACATAAGCTCCTGGTGAAATGAGCCTGAGAGGGAAATATAGAGACCCCAATTTGGAAATCTCCCAGATTTAGTGAAGCTGACTGATCCTCATGCTCACTCGAGAGTGAGAACTCCAGCCTGGAAACAGCCCTTAGTTAGGCCTGACGAGCCACGAGCAGGACAATCAGGGTGGGAAGCTGCTTTGCTTGGAAGTCACGACCTGCGGAGGCCAGGGGGTCCACTCAGGAGTGGGGCCTCACCAGCTCAGGCAGCAGAAAAGGCTTCCTGTTTGAGATCTTCATAGATAGTGACGTCTCCACACAAGGAAGAAACTCCAAAAACAACGGGATGTTGCCTCTCTCTCTAGATCAGTGAGCGGCTACACATCTCAGCTAAATTACTCTGAGGAAAAAGACAACAAAGTTTAACCCCAAAGTGTCTGTACAGCGCTGTCCTGCTGGCCTGTGGCTATGCAAGTGCCTCTTGCTTTCTCGCTTTTTCCCAGTAAACTTGTCCTTTTAAAATGTTTTTAAAAAAGCAAGTGTGCACACACACCTCCTCCAAGGGCCGGGCGCCCCATGATGAAAGCACTCCGTCAACAATGCTTCCAGTCTCTGGGGCAGGACAAGCCCGGGCCGGCCCGGCCTCCCTCCTGCGCTGTGTGGAGCTGTTCGGGCCTTTCTAGAGCTGAAGGAATTTCACCCCAGCTGGGAAGGGGGTGTGCAGTCTTGTCCTCCCTCGCCCTTCGAAATGTGCACACACCCATGCCACACGTGCCAGTTCCAGGGCCGAGAACATCTTGCTATACACAAAACAAAGGCTTGAGGCAGTGAATTAAGATGGGAGATGGTGCTTGGAAATTAAGAACACGGTGAAGCAAGGTAACCCGAGAGAAGCAGCCTCGGGACCTCATTTAGTCCCACGATGAATCTTGCTTCATCTCAGACCATGTACCGCCATGAGGCCTGCTGGGCCTGGGGGGCCCCTCACTGCTGACCCTCTACTCACCCTTGGCCTACAGCTGTATGACTCACCTCTGGCGAGCAGCCGCATCATCTCTGACCCAGTACAGCGGCCTGGCCACTCCCAAGCCCCAGAGAAACCGAAAGTGTCCAGGCCCCAGGTCCCCACACGGGCTCAGCTCCGGCCGCAAGGTCAGCGCCGGGCCTGGGGCTGCTGCCCCGCTTCCCTTGGTGCCACAGAACAATGGAATACTGCACGCTCAGAAAACATATTCACCTGCTCATTTTGAAAAGGAAAAAGTTGTACATGAAATAATATTTAAGCACAAGCAGTACATAAAATAGGCTTTCAATAAATATCACTTATTTCTAGCCTTGTTCAATGAAACATTCACAGCTATGAGTTTTCCTTTAAGGATAATCTTGGCTCTATTCCATAATTGTAATATAATCTATACTAGTCTCATTAGCGATGACTTCAAATGGACAGAGCGGGGAGCAGAGCATGCAGACTGACTGGAATCCACTGCGGAGGCCACCGGGAGACAGGAGGGGCCGCTGCGCCGCGTGGGTCGGGCCTGGCTTCACTGTGCCACGCCCCCTGCACCCCGGGGAGGCCAGTTTGTCACTCTTCACTCTATCTTTTGTCTAATACTAAAGTTTTGCAACTTCTGTTGCTACCTACCTGCCTATACAGTTTTTAGTCGTTCGCTTTTCATCTTGATTAGAAAGGCATTTTCACTGCTTTTCTATTATCTGAAGTTTAAATTCTCCATATGGCACTAGGCAGCTGTATTCACTTTTCCCCAGCCGGACTGCCGAGTGTCCCCGACCCTTTATAGCGAGTGTCCTGCTCTCCGCTGTAAACGCCACCTCTGCACCAGATTCGTGCACACGGCACGGCCTGTCGCTCCGGGCTGCCGCACAGCGGCTCGCACTGCCCAGGGTGCTCGAGACGCCCTGTCTAGACGGGGCTGCCTGCTGTCAGCATTTCCCTGGCTGTGACCCTGGCAGCAGCTCACCGACCCTGGTTTCCACCCAGTCGCGCGGCTGCTGCCGCCCTTACAAATAAATGTAAAAGCCTGGACGCCCCCTCGTGCTGTGCCGCTTTCTGAACACCACCAGCACCCCGACGGCGCAGGGCAGCTAGCCAGACGTTCAGCCGTTATCGGGGTGCCGGGAGGCCGGGCCCTGCTCTCTGGGGCTCCCGGCGCCCGCCTGGACACCCCCGCCCAGCCCGTCTAGGCCGGGCGCAGAGTCGGGGCCGCTGCGCCCCAGCTCCCCCGGGACTGCACCGAGC